GTAGACTTGTCTTTGTTGATTGAAAATTGAAAAATAAACATAATGTATTATAGTTTACCAAGTCGCAACGAAATTGTCCTGCCAACTGTTTTGTGTAACCAATTTTTAAAAATGCAATTATCAAATTCATTCTCTAGTTCTACTAGTTTTCTCCTACTTTTAATAACGTGTTGCATAAATATGTTTTGAGTGTGCAATATTCAAATCACCTTGAAATCCCTAGAGATGAAGCAGTTGCCTGTACCTGTATTCTCTAGTATCTTTAACAGATTCAGTAAATTGAAACATGCAATTGAAACTCAATGCTTTTTGTTATGCAATATGGTTTTGAATTTGGAACATGCTCAGAACAACTACTGGATGTAAAATGTTCGATGTTTGTTTGGACGTGTTGGCAACAAATGCCATGTCGCTTTAGAATGGGAGGGATCTAAAATGCACAGGTACCGGTACTGGAAAACAGCTGTTCATTGCAAACTATTGGAAACGTTTCACAATTATATTTTATTTATTAAGAGGCTGTATTCAAATTGTTTTATGGAAAGTCTGGCATGTGATTGGACCTGGTGACACCCTAAGATGCTGAAAATTCAATCACAACTGAATCTAACAATTTGTTTAATATTTGGCTATTTGTAAACTACTGCAATGTAGTACCCAAATTTTGAATGAGAAAGTTATAATATTTAAAGACGTATGAGTTATAAGCCGTCACACTTGTTTACATTTTTTGTGCATACGCATGTGCATTGACTAGTTGGCAAGAACCGGCCATTTGCTTTGAAGATAAAATAAAGGCGTTGTTTGTGCCTCTGTTATTGAATATTCCTGTTAATAAAACAACTTAAAGGTGATGTTGTCACCGAGATTATGAGCTAGTATTGATCGATGAGCAACATTTGTTATCATGCTGGGTGGAAATGTGATGTCACAGTGTGACAGCTTACAGCGATATACATATTAAATGGTTTGGTTGATTTTCATGTGCCTCTATTAGATTGTAGGATTCTTGGCAAAACTGACTTAGGAATTAGTTTCAATTTTGAATAACTTAGCCAAAAATCAATCTGACATTTTACATTGAGACTTGTTCTAGTTGGGTGACTTGTTTTGTTTCATAAATCTAATTTGTACAGCCTGTAAACTTTAATACATTTATCAAGAAATATCAGTTAAAAGGAATTTGTCAAATATTATTATTTTTACTTTTTTTCTTGCAGCTGAAAATATGCTTGGCAGCGTGAACAAAGGTGTGTATGTATTAATGAGTGGTTTAGACTTGGAGAGACTTGTGTTGTCAGGAGGCCCATTGGGGTAAGATATCAAATTCACTACGTTCAATTACCCACCATAGACTCCGGTCAGTCAAAATGACTATTTTGAACTGTAGGCATTAATCAGCGATTCTGCCGGTGACGGAGAGATAGAATCCAGGTCAGGGGAAGCCCCATGACCTCAAGATTCTTTTACCCCTTACGTCATGAACCCACGTGACCGAGGCCACCTGGCAGCACCACAGGTAGCCGTCCTTCACTCTTAATTTCTCTCCGCCTCGAGTGGAGATGAAATCTAGCGAGCTCTGCTGGATCGCCTGCTTTTTTCCTGTCCGGATTTATAGCTTGGGTTGTTGCCGCTGCTCGGCATCCGACATGGTAGCTGGTAGGATTAGTTTTCCTTGTCTTTTTTTACCCTCGTGTCGTTTTCCCCTTTGTGTGTAGTATTTTTCACAGCAAAGAAATCAAAATCCGGCGCCACTACGTAATCACATGTTGATTTCATGGCGGCACCTTTTACAACTGTAATTCGTCTCCCTCATGCATGTCGTCTTTTATTTTTAATGTATTTAGCAATATATCGATGTAATGACAGCTCCAAGGCTCGCTGCCTTTTTCTTCCGGTCTCCTCGTCTTTCGAGCCGACTGTACAGTGGTTTATTCAGAATCTACCAGCATAGAACCCGCATCCGAGATGCTTTGTCGTGGCTACATGTGGGTTCCGGGTTTCTTTCGCGTGAAAGCGTGTTTTTTCACTGG